CCATCCCCGTGCGCTCCTGCAAACCCCAGCACCGCCCACCTGCCGCTTTTGGATGGGTAAATCCTCACTTTTGGGGTTTCTGGGGAGCTGACAGCACCCAGCACTTTGGAAAAACCAAAATTCCTCCAAGAAAGCAGCATGACCCCAAAGCTGAAGGTTTTGAGGGATTCCCCTCGAAGCTGCAGGCTCAGGCTCAGCCTGGCAGGGACAGACCTGAGGGTTCCACATTCCTGCTCACCCCACAACCCTGGGGGCAGCGGGATTTCAACCAGAGCCGTGCAATCCCGGCTCATTCCCGCTCCAGAACACCTCCCCTGCCTCAGGGAGCCGGGCTTGTCCCTGGAAGGGCTGGAACCCCCATTCCCAGCTCCCAGAAGGTCCCAGCTGGGGTGCACTGAGCCCTTCACCCCATCCATTTGTGGCGGGGGTGCACTTTAGGGTGCACAGGATTCTGTCAGAGATGCTGCCCCTCAAAGGAGCAGCACTAAAACCCCCCAGAGTGACAGAAATCCCTGCCCTGGACACTTCAGGGGATGGAACAGCCCCTCCATCACGCAGGGCTGGGRCAGCRGGGACASCTCAGGGCTGGCRGCAGGACRGGGAAAAACCCGGGATYACSGCAGGATCCCATCTCCTACAGCACCGGGGAGAAACTCAGACCCAATACCTGAAAAAACAGCGAGAATGACCCAAACCAGGCCCTGAGATATGGAAAAGACCCCAAATCACCCGGGCCTGCCCTCAGCACACTCAGGAGGTGGTGTTGGCACCACCAGCACCCACAGCCCGCTCAACTCCGGAGGGATTTTTGCCTCCAGGGGATGCGGTGTCGGTGCTTTTTGGGATCGCAGCTCCAYGGGGCCGATCTGCTGTGGATCCCCGGGGCTGTTCCGGGGCTGGGAGATGGGATAAGCGGGAGAGAAACGGGTTTGGGTCAGCAGCAGCGAACAGCGGGGCTCACAGACTCAAATCTTGGCTCGGCGAGACGCTCGGAGCCAGCGCCGTCCCAGGGTTAATCCCAAACACATCAGCTCAGCTGCCGCTCTCGTGGCCCTGCTCCAGCTCCGGGGATGCAGGAGGCAAAATCGCGATCGGATTCCAGCCGGCTGGACACGGCCACGCAGCTCCTGCAGACCCGCTGAGGGCAAACTGCAGCCAGCCCMAATGCGTTCCGCTCCCTGAGCTGCMTCTCCTGCCCTCYCYGASAGGTTTTGCTTCCTAAACATCGGGAATGTGGGATTTAGGCTCGTTTAGAAACCACCCGGGCTCGGCTGGTCAGGTAAACCCGTCATTCCCAGGCCGGGAAGGAGCTGATGGTCTTGGCATTTGTTTTTGGCAGCTCCCGGGTCACTTAGCAACCTCTGTCTCGGGTTTCCTGTCGGGGATTTGTCTGCAAATGCATTTTAATCTTTGTGAAAGGGSACCCACCAGCACGTGGGTGGAGTGGCCTAAAGCCTCCTCCGGGCACAGTCCCCGGTCCTCTGTGTGTTTGTGCCCCCAGGGCAGTTGTCACCTGCTCCTGTGCTTTGAATTTTACACAAAATCTGGGTTTGAACTCATTTTCTGGGTTATTCAGATTCTCCTCTCCTCGGGTGCCACACAGGGTCTGCTCCTCCATCAAGGAGCTCCCAGCTCTTCACACGGGATCCTCTCAATAAAAGAAATTCAGCAGCAAATCCCAAAGYCAGACGGGACCCAGATGTCCTGGGAATCAGCAGAGACATCCAGAGGA